ACGTATTTCTGAATAATGAAACTCATTTCTAAATACTGAGTACTTGGAGTGGAACTCATTTCTAAATAATGAGTACATGAAATGAACTCCTTTCCACATAATAAGTACTTGAATTTGAACTCATTTCCGGATAATGAGTACTTGAATTGAAACTCATCTCTGAATAATGAGTACTTGAAGTGGACCTTATTTCTGAATAATGAGTACTTGAGGTGCAACTCATTTCTGACTATTGAGTACTTTCAGTGGAAATCATTTCTAAATAATGAGTACTTTAGATGTATCTAATTTCTAAACAAGTACTACATGAGGTGGAACTGATTTCTACATAATGAGTACATTGGGTGGAACTCTCCTTAAAAATAATGAGGACTTTCGATGTCACTCTTTTTGAATTCTAGCGTAGTCAATTGTAATTGTTTTCGCACTGTATAATGAATATTTTAGGTGGAACTTATTTCGAAATTCTAACTGCATTGCGTAGAACCCATTTGTAAATAATGAGTACTTTAGCTCGAACTAATTTCTACGTAATGAATACATTGAGTGGAACTCGTTTCAAAATAATGAATACTTTAGCTGTATTTCTGTCTGAATTCAAGCGTAGCCTAATCCATTTGGTCTCGCGCTGATGTCTTTGAGAAAGGCATGACTCATTTCTTCCCTACCTCCAGCAATGTGTTCAACAGACTGGGTTCTCTGGCCTTGGACGGCAACTAGTGTAGGAGAATTTAATTAAAAAAAAACAAAAAAAAACAAAAAAACAAAAACACAAAACAAAAAGCAGTGGGGATGTTAACGGAAATCATTCCACTATCTTTCCCCAATAGGTTATATCAATTCCCACATAATAAAGAAAAGGAAGGCGCGGAGAGCCTTGATCCAACATCCTGAAGTATTTGTGAGTCTGTTTACAACTAATTTCACAACTAATTTCAGTTGATAATAATAATAATAATAATAATAATAATAAAAGAACTTATTTAAAGGCGACGAAAGGCTATTGCACGATTGCTTCGTATTTATGGGAAACTAGCAGTAGAGCCCGGCGTTGCCCGGGGATGTAACAGTAAGAGATAGATTAAGTATCGACCATCGTAAAGACTGAAAAATAAAATTGACAAAGATTATTGTTTAAGGTTGACGGACACGCATGTCTTAATTAGTTTTTTTTTTCTTTTACGAATTGGTCAAACCCAAACTCAAACAAAAACATTGTTTTCAATTGTTATGAGTCTACCGATTGAATAGAATTTTATTATAAACAATTGTCTTGTAAATGGAATTTTTTAAAGCATTCTGAATGTAAAAAAAAGAAAAAAGTGTGCAAGACAATAAAAACACTACCTGCCAAAAAAAAAAAAGTGAAGTTTTGTTGAAATCGGTTGAAAATGTAGGAAATCCGATCCCATATATAAACGAACACACACACACACACACACACACACACACACACACACACACACACACACAACAAACAACCTGGGTTTTATAATAAGTATAACTCGATATGAGTTGTCCCCCTTTCATTCTCGTGACAGCGAAACCCTTTAATCGTGTTTTCAAATTGATCTCGTGCAAAAACAATTGTGTTTTTCCAATTTTTGGCGCTATCAGAAGCACCGCAAGGTAATTTTACGTAGTCCTGCGAAGTTTTGTTGAAATCGGTTGAAAAATTTATGAAATCCGATCCAATATATAAACGAACAGACATACACACACACACAACCTGGGTTTTATAATAAGTATGATATATTATAATTGTTTGCAAATTACATAATGGGAGACAAATTTGGAATTAGGAGTTAGATCCGCACCGGACTGAAAATGGTGTACTGCTGCTATACATGGGCAGGGGCTTTCTAGTCTTCATTTTCCAGTCTTGATAGAGTCCAAAAGCGTCTCCGTGTCCTTACGGGTGACAAATTATTTTCCACCCTACAACCACTTTCCCACAGACGAAAAGTCGTGAGCCTCTCAATGCTCTATCGCTATTTCTATCGAAAGTGTTCAGACAAACTTAATTTCACGACTAACAACCGCTATACTAAGCACATTGTAGCGAACCATTTCCTTCGTATTCCATTGGTGGGATGTAAGTTCCAGCTTCTTTACACGAACCGCTGCTCGAGACTCCCAAGAGGATGCTTCCCACATCACTACAATCGTAACCTGTTCATGTATAGGATTATCTGTTATCTTGCCCACCTATCCGCATAAACTGTACCTCTTACTCTGTGATCGTCTACCCTGAGTGGCTCTCTGGCCTTGTACTGAATGAACATCATTGTAAAAGAGAATATGTGAAAATGCTTTTTTTACGAAGAAAAACATCATAATTTCATGTTCATCAGCAAAAATAAAAAATGTCTTCATTTTCTTTTTCAATGTTGCTACGATTCTCTTTCCATATTTTTTTAAACAAACTCACAAATACACATGGTCAAAAATAAGCGATCATTATTATCGAAGCGAGCACGAACGCAGAAATAACACTATTATTAATGATTTGCGAATTAAACAGTAATTTGTCTTCTACCAGTTAAAGCAGTTTAACGGTATTGCTCTGATAAAAGCCACGCTACGACGAGCCGTTTTTGCTGTGTTAAGCTAACAAATAAACTAGCACACCCACACAGAGAATCGAAAGATTATAATATAGATTATTATTACTGCGTGTAAATGTAGTAGTCGACATAATATGATTCTTCGTTGTAGCCATGCTATTGTTCGTTGTAATTATCTCCCCCCCCCCTAATTTCCATACCAATCTGTTGTCGTTTCTTATGAAGGCAAACGCATCTAATATGAATGCTAATATTAACGAAATCAGCTTAGGAAATGAAAGAAGCAGCTTGTCGAACGCTAAGGTAATTTACTACTTGCCTCAAAAGCATTGGAACTGATTTTAAGAGGCAGTGTTTGGACTGGATGGTCGTTCGAGTATTGGCTAACTACTGAAATAAACATCGTCTTTAGAAAACAAGCCACAAATCTATTTTTTTCTGAATTTTATCGTAAATATCCGTATCCATAACTTTATTTTTACATAGAAATATAGACATTAAACTAAAGCTAACTGCTTAAAAACGGTATTTAATGGGTAAAAATGTTTCCGCGTTAATAGGAATCTTTATCAACCAATTAAATATATATATATATATATATATATAAAAATAAACGTTTATTATTCTTCAAATTTTTCCTGATATAGCGAGTCATTTTTTAGAGTAAAATTTTGGGTTATTATATAATAAAACTGTTTAAATTAACTGAAAAATTACAAGCAACTGTTTAACATTTAAATATCTATTCGTTGTAACAGTTTAAAAATCTGTTATTATTATTAACAAATCAAAATACTAGTTATATTCTGTAGCAAATAGCTTGGCTATTCAATATTTCATAAACCGTAGTGAATGAAAGCAACATATGTTTAAGATGTAAATACAAACGTTTTATTTTGAAAGAAGAATAAAAAGAAAACAATAAAGAAGCAAGCTTTATTTTCTCTCTGATGAAACGAAATGTTTATTATATGAGCAATTTTACTATCCCTTGATTGCACTGTCACAGTAGCATCACTCGCAATCGTTTGCAGATGATACAATGCGAAGGTTGCGGTGGTCGTCATAGTTGTAGTGGTTGGAATAGCGGTGGGAGGATGATGATATGATAGAAGAGGCGGTATCAAAACTGATCAATATTTATCATCGTTATCATGATCAGCGTTGTCGTTATTAGCAGGGGTTTTGTACGGAGGTTAAATCCGTCGCCACCATTGCCAGCCTCATTATCATTTTCTAGGCTCCTGCTGGTGCTGCATGTCAAATTATAAACCAATCAAAACGCGAAGAGCGTGGTACGCAGTTTTCATTCATCGTTCCCTGCAGTCGAGAAAGCGGCTGTGTGTAAACCGCCTGCGTAAAAATCTACAAACTACCAACACACGCAAAACAATACAGGCGTATAAACAGTAGGCATTCTTACACATCAACTCAAAACATAGACACATTTAGAGACAGAGAGGAAAAAAGATACATATATTTATATATAGTGAGAGAGAGAGAGAGAAAGGGATAGATAAAAGGATAAAGAGACTAGTTTTGGTAAATAGAGAATTTCTCATTGTCTACTGCACACATATACGCACCTATTCAAACGTAAAAAGAGAGAAGAATAGATACACACAGAAAGGGAGGGAGTGAGTGAGTGAGAGAGAGAGAGAGAGAAAGAGAAAGAGAGAAGGAGAAGTTTGAACAGAATACACGAAAGGATTTTACATATATTCTTATACAGAGACACGCCCTTTCACTTACTCTCTCTCGTATATGAACTGAAAGATTTCGCTTGTTGAATTTGTACGTTTTTGCCAGATCAACGTATCGTCTGCTCCCGCTGACTCGACGTGATCTTGTGTTACGTCTCGTTCGATAACGTACACTGGTCAGGACAACTAAAGCCGAAACGGACGTCCCCTGAAGATAAAGCTGTAGAAAGAGAAAGGACGTAAGTTTGTTTTTTTTTGCTTCTAATAATAATAATAATAATTTTCATTGTTTTGTTTTTTTTTTATTCTAGATTTTTCTTTTCCAGAAATTGGTAGATGTTTCTTTTAAAAAATATGACAAAGAAATTACAGATGCATTTAATTTGGTTTCGTTTTGTTAAGTTTGGGAATTCAGTCGATTGTATATTTTTGTTCTCGATGATATATATATATATATATATATATATATATATATATATATATATATATATATATATATATATATAAAAAACGGGAATCTATATATTATATTTAAAGACGAAAACATGGACTGACAATCTGACAATTAGAATTTCAAATGAACAACCAAAACATACAGGTTTTAAAAAGAACAGCCTCCGTCCCATAACCATTGTTCCAGCTGTACAGAGATTTCGTACTGCGAATGGAACAACTATTATGGGACAGAAATAGTATTTCTAAATAAGGCAAATCTACACATATGTATACATGGCTGTGTGCGCATATGGGCACACACACACACACACACACACACACACACACACACATATATATGTGTGTGTGTATATATGTGTGTGTATCTGTGTTTATATATATATACACATATATATATATATATATATATATATATATATATATATATATATATATATATATATATATATATATATATATATATATATATATATATATATATATATATATATATTAAACAAGGCTGTCATATTCCCTCGCATGTTAAACGGCAGTTAAAAAGCCCCAAAAACATTTGTTTTGCAGGTTGACCATACACACATACATATATATATATATATATATATATATATATATATATATATATATATATATGTGTGTGTGTGTGTGTGTGTGTGTGTGTGTGTGTGTGTACAAAACAAGGTCGCTGAAATTTTGTAAACCCAACGAAGATGCGATTACTCAAATTAATTTTTTTTTTTTTGGGGGGCAAGTTTGGACCGCAAACTTTCATTAAAACATTATATATATATATATATATATATATATATATATATATATATATATATATATATATATATATATATGAACACAAATGTTGATATACACGAAGAATTATACATCTTAGAAACTTTAAAATAGATAATTCTTCTATTGCATTGTCAAAAGCAAGGTTCATTTTAAGGATTCGGGTATTGTCAGATGAAAAGAAACGTAGAAAGTGTTTTTTATGACGAAAGACATTTATACAGGCCGGCTATAATCGATCAGTATATATTAAAAAAAAAACAAGCAATTTTAACTTTAAAAAAATAAAAAGAAAAGAAAACTCAAAATAAAATTATTATTATTCTTTTTCTTATATTTGAAAAACTGGTTTAGGTGACGAAGGACAAAGTCAAGAGAAGTGGCGACAAAAAGACTTGCTTGTTTAGAAGAAAAAGAAAAGGTTTTCTGAAGTAGCCAGCTCAACATCAACTCACAAGAAACACCAGTGAGTTGTACCAGAGATGAATCGAGTACTGAAAAGGGTCTCCATTGTATTACTTCTGTGTTTAGTTTCCATATGGGCGCTTCCCGTCAAGAAGGCGAACACGAAAGGTAAGGCGAAACTTTACCGTATATTACATTCTGTGTTGTCTGTTGTTGAAAACTGAACCCATCACGTTTACTATGTTAGGCTGGAAATATTACGCATCACAATTTTAAGCCAATCCTTCTTTAATTTCATTTTACTTTTAAAGAATTAATAGCGTTAAATATCTCCATTTAATTTCGATGCAAGTTAATTTTAACGCTTCCAAAAAGAAACTGCTCTATTTTATTCGTTTGAAATATGTTCTTTCTTTTTGCCTTCCATCATCATGGGTGATGCTAAACCCCCATTTCAGATCCATTGCGCCTTTTCTGGCGGGTTAACGTTTTAACGACATGGTGTGGAAAGTCTATATTGAATCAATTGCTAAGTCTTGCTGTTAGGAAAGTTGGTTCACTGTGTGGTGCTACGCAGTCTTTCTCTTCAGAATCTATCTTACACATTTATTCGTTCATTCATTGAATATTGCTGTCACATCTGGTATGGCGCTTCTGCTATCGATTTAGATATTTTAAATAAACCTGGAACGCTATTGCTCCTTAACAGGCATCTCGGCTTCAGTCACTTTCTCACCGACGTAAGGTAGCTTCCAGTTTGCCTTTTCTATAAATATTTTAATAGTATTTGTTCTAATCAGCTTTGGTAGATAGACTTTAAGAATTTAAGAGCAATACTAGATTGACGGTTAGGTCTCATCGTTTTACATTTGAAATGGCGGAAGACATAACCGCAAGTTCTATGTTAACAGTTTCTTCTTTCGCACTTCTCGCTTGTGGAACTCTGTTCCGCCCTTTTGCTTTCCAGTCAAGTTTGATCTTCAGAAATTTAAAAGCAACGTCAATCTTCTGTCTTCTTAATTCCAATTCTTTTATTGCTCTCTCTCTCTCTCTCTCATTAATAGTGTTTTCTTTTTTTCATATTTTCGCCCACTCCGTAACCCCTTGTGTCTTACTTGATTTATTGCCTCCCTCGAGATGAAATCATTTAAAAAAAGTCATTTGTAATCAGTCTTCTATGTGCATTGAATTTTCAAGACGTGGTTGGTCGCAGCTCTTCACGACTTTCTATTCTTTGTAGTTCATAGTAGTTTTTTGTCTTTTTACTATTCTTTCTACACACTTTTATGGCACCCTTTTACACAGGCTTGTTATATATATATATATATATATATATATATATATAAATTAACTGATTTAAAATATGTTTTTTTTCGCTACACAGCTTCCATTTTTGAAACATGGTTAGAACTGTGTAACGAAAAAAACATTTTAAATCAGTTAATTTATAATATTAATGCTCTGTAAATTTAGATTGAGCACTATTTTGTAAAAATAAAAATATCTATAAGAACACCGGATTATATATCTTACTGTTCTTTCTTTATATATATATATATATATATATATATATATATATATATATATATATATATATATATGTGTGTGTGTGTGTGTGTGTGTGTGTGTGTTACTTGCTGTTTTCCTTTTCCGTATTCAATATGCCCTGAGTGTCAAATTCTCCAAACATTCGTTCTTCATTAATGTGTTTCGGAAATTTCACATATCTCTTTATGATTCAAAGTATAAACTCCTTTTTTTCATTTATATTGTTCGGACTGTTGTCTTCATCTTTGTTGTCATCTTCACGACGTTTCGGCCGTTGTACACGCCGGCCTTCTTCAGGTGATTGAGATTTCGTAGCTCTTTACGACTGCCTATTCTTTATAACTCTAAGCAGTTTTACTCTTTTTTTTTTTTTTTTTTTTTTATTCCTCTCACTCGCTTTTCGACCGTCCTTTTACACAAGTGGACGAAATAAAGGGCTCGATTCGAAATTCCAATCATCGGAAGAAGGCTGGAGCGTACCACGGCCGAAATGACAACAAAGATAAGGACAAGAGTCCAAACAATGTAAATAGTGTAAATAGTTACAAGACCTCATTTCAAAAATATAGACTGTGAATATGGCAATAAAGATGAAGACAACAGTCCGAACAATGTAAATAGTGTAAATAGTTACAATGCCTCATCTCTGAAATAGAGACAGATGTTGAAGGTGAATATGGCAATAAAGACGAGGACAACAGTCCAAACAATATAAATAGTGTAAATAGTTATAATACCTCATCTCAGAAATATAGACAGGTCGTTTATTTGTTTCTACGAGATATAAAACATCTTTGCTTACGTGTTCTGTAGAAAGACATCTCTGTGGTCTGAAGTTTCATTTTCACTTGTGTGGAAAATTTCCAGCCTTCATTGCCATTCTGAAGGATTGACGTTAGAAGAAGTACTCGTACTAGACTAATGCTTAAAGAGACACAAAATCTATTTGAAGGCGAACCAAATTTTTTTCTGTTTTTTTTTTTCTGAGATAAAATTATTTTTTAACCGATCGTTTATTTTATTTTTCTTATTTGTTTATTGTTCAAATTATATTTTGATAAAAATTAAACATTTAAAAAAAAATTTGTAGCCGATATGCCAATGTATGAATTATTGATCGTCACTGTAGCTGGCTATCATCAAGAGTCAGCAAGCATTTAGATGGGTTTTTTTCTGATCTAATTACTGTTATTTTTATTTGAATTTATTTTTTTTTTTTTTGTATTTTTCTTTTTTGTGAGAATGTTTTGCTTATTTTCACGGTGTTTTCGTTCTAAAACACTTTATTAATTTGGCGGCTCTCTGAGCCCATTTTTTTTTTTTAAAAATATTTTCAGGGCAACCGTTCGGATACGTTCTTTACAATGGTACCTAGACTGTTTGAATTTAAGCACAATACTAGTTGAGCTAGCTGGATATAGACGTACTTTCTATGCAAACTGTTTCTTATCTCGTTCGTGGAACTCCCTTCTGGCTTCACGCTTTCCAACTAACATTAATCTGCAAAAATTTAAATGCAATCTACTGTCCTAATTCTTCTACACCCTGTGACCCCTTACGTGCTAGGGGTTGTAATGCTTTGCTTGGTGTGATACCGTTCTAAAAAAACAAAAAAAAACAAAAAATCAAGAAACATATTTAAGCTTAAATTATAGTTGATTCGTAGATATTCGATCGATTTCCTTCGTACATATAAATTTAACTGATAGATTTACGACACTTTCTTTTTTTTTTATTCATTTCGTTTTTAAATATCTGTATGACTTCAATATTCCTCTTCTTCGATGTGCTGTGACCTTCAGGGCGTTGACGATCATGGCTCTCCTCAACTTCTTTTCCTTTGTAGCTCTTAACCCATTAACTGACATTTTTTTTAATGCACATTTTTGGCGCAGACGGGTGTCTTAGGAGATTATTCATTCCTTATGGTTAATTTCAGTAGTTACCATTGTCGTTTTTATAGAAACTAGAACATACATATATATGTGTATAAAACACCAAAAAATAATATTGATTAAAAATAATGAAAAATAGTCGTTATTTTTCTACACGTGAAATGTAAAATTACGACAGAAAATGTCTTCTTACGACGAATAATAAAAACTTTAAAGGCTAAGTGTTGTAAAATATATACCTCTGCAAATGAAATGTATGTGAACAATTCAATGCAAATACAAGGAATAACATGTAGTGAGTTTAATTTTAACAGATCCCCAAATGAGGCTTATGGCAGGTAAGGGGTTAAGTAAAGCCTATATTATGGAATCTATATGAATAAATGTAAAATTGGAGTTCGTTCTTTCTTTCTTTCTTTTTTCTCTTTTTCTCTCTTTTCTCTTTCTCTCTTTTCTTTCTCTCTCTCTTTCTTTCTTTCTTTCTTTCTTTTCTTATTCATTTACCTTCTCCTTTATTTCTTATTTATTTCCTCTTTTCTTTTCGCCCTCACTTCCTCTTTCTTCTTTTTTCTTTCTTTTCTTTCTTTCTTTCTTTCTTTCTTTCTTATTCCATTACCTTCTTTTATTTCCCTCTTTTTTACTGTTCCCCACCTTCCATTCTTTCTTTCTTTCTTTCTTTCTTTCTTTTCTTTCTTTTCTTTCTTTCTTTCTTTTCTTTTTCTTATTCCATTACCTTCTCTTTTATTTCCTCTTTTTCTGTTCCCACCTTCCATTCTTTCTTTCTTTCTTTCTTTCTTTCTTTCTTTCTTTCTTTCTTTCTTTCTTTCTTTCTTTCTTTCTTATTCCATTACCTTCTCCTTTATTTCTTATTTATTTCCTTTTTTTCCTGTTCTTCCATTTCCTCTTTCTTTCTTTCTTTCTTTCTTTCTTTTCTTTCTTTCTTTCTTTCTTTTCTTTCTTATTCCATTACCTTCTCCTTTATTTCTTATTTATTTCCTCTTTTTCCTGTTCACCCCCCCCCCTTCCGTTCCTCTTTCTTTCTTTCTTTCTTTCTTCTTTCTTTCTTTCTTTCTTTCTTTCTTTCTTATTCCATTTTCTCTTTATTTCTTTTTTACTGTTTCCCCTTCCATTCTTCTTTCTTTCTTTTTTCTTTCTTTCTTTTTTCTTTCTTTCTTTCTTTCTTATTCCATTACCTTCTCCTTTATTTCTTATTTATTTCCTCTTTTTCCTGTGCACCACACTCCATTTCTTTCTTTCTTTCTTTCTTTCTTTCTTTCTTTCTTTCTTTCTTTCTTTCTTATTCCATTACCTTCTCTTTATTTCCTCTTTTCCTGTTCCCCACCTTCCATTCTTTCTTTTTTCTTTCTTTTTTCTTCCTTTTTTCTTTTTTCTTTCTTTCTTTCTTTCTTATTCCATTACCTTCTCTTTATTTCCTCTTTTTTCCTGTTCCCCCACCTTCCTTTCTTTCTTTTTTTCTTTCTTTCTTTCTTTCTTTTCTTTCTTTCTTATTCCATTACCTTCTCCTTTATTTCTTATTTATTTCCTTTTTCCTGTTCACCCCTTCCATTCCTCTTTCTTTCTTTCTTTTCTTTCTTTCTTTCTTTCTTTCTTTCTTATTCCATTTCTCTTTATTTCCTCTTTTTCCTGTTCCCCCACCTTCCATTCTTTCTTTCTTTCTTTCTTTCTTTCTTTCTTTCTTTCTTTCTTTCTTTCTTTCTTTCTTATTCCATTACCTTCTCTTTATTTCCTCTTTTTCCTGTTCCCCACCTTCCATTCTTTCTTTCTTTCTTTCTTTCTTTCTTTCTTTCTTTCTTTCTTTCTTTCTTTCCTGTTCACCACCTTCTATTCTTTCTATTCATGAAATGTAAAATTACGACAGAAAATGTCTTCTTACTGCGAATAATAAAAACTTTAAAGGCTAAGTGTTGTAAAATATATACCTCTGCAAATGTATGTAAGCAATTCAATGTAAATACAAGGAATAATATGTAGTGAGTGTAATTTTAACAGATCTCCAAATGAGTCTCATGGCAGGTAAGGGGTTAATATATTTTGTCTTTTTTATCTCTCCTAAACCCATTCATTTGCTCAAACTCGCTAGGTGGGTTATGAATTTTTTCCTCTGTTTCGCTTGCCTTCAATCCGTCCTGTGAGTATCTAATTTTCGAAGCCCTCTTTCCTCATTATTTGCCCTAGAAATTTCAACTGCCTCTTCCTGATGTTAATTATATTTTCTCCAAAACCTCGTCATTGTCCATCTCTTCATTCCATGATATCCCAGATAGCATGCAAAAAAATCGATAGCTGCATTCGTCACAAGTGGGGAAAATTTAAATCTGCATGGCACTTTACTCCAATTGGCTCATTCGCTTGCTTAAACTCAACGTTGATTCTGATTCCGCAGAACTGGGTTGGGTGTGAAAAAAGTATTTATTGTTAACATTCTTTTTTCATTCGGTTTTTCCAGTTGCGAGTCCTTTTTTAAAGTTGATCGTTTTGTGTTCATTTTGTTTAGTTCTTTTTTCGTAACAGATTTAATGTTTAGTATAGAGCTTAGAAAAAATTCGCAGTGTGAGATAGACAAGAAGGAAGGCATGTAGCAACATCAGCACGGCAAAGGGCACTCCTTTAAAAGGCAAGGAAGGGCAAAAATATTTTAAGTCAAGTGATAGCGATTGCTGTATGAGTCGTACGATTTTTGAATCAAGCACGGGCGACGCCGGGCCATGCTGCTAGTTAGTACTTAAAAAATGGCATAGGCTAACTGTACTTGTACCTAGTATAACTCCAAGGTACTGTGATATTAAATTTAAATAAGGGAAAATTATGTGGCTAATGCGTACCTAGTTATCGTAGACTGGGATGGCATATACCTACACTAACGCCATAATATTGTAATATAAAATGTACAGGGTGGTCCGAAAGTCTTGTCACCCCTCCCAGCAAAAGGTAAAGAGAAGAACAAGTAATTCAAAGCACATGTACTGGATTCAGTTTATTCACTTTCATATGTCGCAGGTCGGGAAGGTCTGTATGAACACAATCATTTTCGTGTCAGCCATCTGAAATAGAAAATTATATTATATAAGGACGAGAAGAAAACATTGAGTCAATTGCTTCGTCCACCGCAAGGAAAGTTGGCTACCTGTGCCGCGCCAGGAAAATTTTCTCCCCGGAATCGATCTTTCAGATCTACAAATCAGTAATTCGACCTTGCATGGAGTATTGCTGCCATATATGGTCTGGTGCTCCTTTTGTTTGCCTCGAGGTTCTTGATAAGATCCAGAGGCGTATAATTGGCCCTATTCTGGCATCTCGTCTACAGTCGCTCTCTCACAGACCCTTCTCCTCATCCTTTCCTCTATCACTCCTATCTGATCTTGCTCCAAATTTTCTGTAACCCCTTGCGTCCTAGTGGCTTCCCGCCTTGCTAGGGATGAAACGCTTTAAAAAAAAAAAAAAAAAAAAAAAGCGACTCATACAGTTGTATAGAGTGGTCCGAAAGTCTTGTCGCCCCTTACAGTTGTATATAGTGGTCCGAAAGTCTTGTCGCCCCTTACAGTTGTATATAGTGGTCCGAAAGTCTTGTCACCCTCACCAAAATCTGAAATCGAAAATTATTGTCGGTGTGACAAGACTTTCGGACCACACACTACATTGTGGGTGTGTTTAAACGTGAAGTTTAAGTATCTAGTCGGCTAGTGTTTACGAAGATGTCATAGCGAAGCTGTATTAAATCCACAGTACTTTAATATTCAATGTTAATTGGTTGGGGTGTCTTATATGCTATGAAGTATGGCATATCAATTTTTTTGAGGCAGTGTAATGGACAGCTACTCACGATGAAAAACCGGAGAGCCGAGTTCGAATTCCAGTCGAGTTCATTGCATTCACTTACGCGCAAATACCCTTGGGAAAGGTATATCCGTCTCGTCTAAATAGTAGGACTTGTATCTGTGAAAATTATTGTTATTCTCAAGAAATATTAATGAAATATTTACTCATAGAAATAAAATATTACTCTTTCGATCCAAAATAGCTTTAGGCTTTAAATAAGTCACAAACAACACCAAATTGAAACATCGGTTCCCGTACAAGCAACGTCGAGCCTGGTCAGTACCTGGATGGGTGACCGTTTGGCAATACCAGGTGTTGTAAGCTTGGATGTGCGGATGGTGTAATGGATAATGGCTGGGAAGTGTGAATCGGAGAGCCGAGTTCTCGTTGTGTTCGTTGTATTCGCTTACGCGCAAATAACCTTGGGAAAGGTATGAGTACACCTCTACTCCCCTCAGCTATGGATTAATTAGTAAGACTTGTATCTCTAAACCATTAAACCCCACCAGAACAAAATTCTTAAAATCTAAAAATATTTTCTGGCTTTAAATAACCTGCAAAGGGTTGATAAGCTGAAGAAAACGAATCAATAAAAAATCACAAAGGGCTGACAAACCGTAAAAAAAAAAACAAAAAAAAACGAATCTTTATATAATACTTGCAGTAGAGCCCGGCGTTGCCCGGGGATGTAACAGTAAGAGATAGATCAAGTATCGACCATCATAAAGACTGAAAAATAAAATTGACAAAGATTATTGTTTAAGGTTGACGGACACGCATGTCGTAATTAGTTTTCAATCGTTATGAGTCTATTGATTGAATAGAATTTTATTATAAACAATTGTCTTGTAAATGGAATTTTTAAAGCATTCTGAATGTAAAAATAAAGAAAAAAAAGTGTAAAGACAATAAGAAACACTACCTGCCAAAAAAAAAAATGAAGTTTTGTTGAAATCGGTTGAAAAATGTAGGAAATCCGATCCAATACACACACACACACACACACACACACACACACACACACACACACACACAATCTGCGTTTTATAATAGGTAAGATTATGAGCTAAATTCTACTCTTAGCATAATTAAGTCAAATATGTTTCTTTTCGTAGCTGTGTGACTGGCTTCGCTTTTACATTTGTGATTAATCGTATTTTCTTTTTTTCTTTTTTTTTTTTAACTGATCGAATGTTTTTTTTTGTGTTTATCTTTCAGCTTCATAATTTGGATGTTTTTTTTTTCGTTGTTTCTTTATGCCAAACATGGCGTTTTAAAACTACTATACCATAACTCTAAAGAATAGCAGGTGCTTTGTGTTTGGTCAGGTTGAGCATTCACCTAGGATACCCAGGAGATGTGGGCGTCTCTTTTCTTGCCATACGATAAGAGCGAAAGGCTTTATTTTCATATACAGAAGAAACTGGCTATTATAATCAAGGATAATGTTATCAACCGGTTATTATTATCGAAATCGTTCGATTCCAAACACTTTATTTAAAACGGATTAAGGATTATCCGCTTATTATGATAAAAATTCCGGGTATCATTTTTTTTATGATCTAAATTTATTTATAACAATAAATGTGAATTGTTGATATTTGGATAAACTTTGATTACTGCTATCAGCCGTTAATTTCTAATTTGAAAGACCATACCCCGAAAACTATCACAATAAGAGGCTTCCTATTAATATTGAAATTATGGGCAGAGATGGATGCAAACATTTTTGCCGTTTTTAATTTTTTCGTATCTATTAAATCACAATGTTTTTTTTTTCTTCGATTCATTCAGTGGTATTATATTTCAGGAAAAGTGTGAACTCCCTAAAACTGTATCTTTAATATTCAACGGAAATGCGGCATTAGATTATTTTGTTATTTTTAATCATTTTATACCCCAAGCAAAGGTGGGAATGCCACCAGTACGCCGGGGGGCAGGGATACAGGGGAGGAAAGTGAAAGAAAAAACTGAGTATAGGCGTGGGGAGGATTGAGGAAAGGATAAAAGATGAACGGGATTCAAAACGACAGGAGATGGCGATTGACGTTGCATTTAAATTTTGTGAATCATTTCACCTCAAGCAAGGCGAGAATGCCGCTAGTACGCAGAGGGTTACAGAGAGTGAAAATGAGAGAGAAGACTGAGTATAAGAAGGATTGAGGAAAGGAGAGAAAAAATGAACGGGATTCAAGAAGACAGAATATGGCGATTGGCGTTGCATTTAAAGTTTTGAAGCTTGTAGTTATCAGAGAAGCGGATAAACGGAAGGGAGTTCCACTGTCGGGAAGTGCAAGAAAAGAAACTGTTAGAGCCGAAGTGGTGGTTGCATTTAACTATTTCAACAGTAAAATGGTGGGACCTAGATGCCAATCTAGCAGCACACTTAAATTGATGCAGTCGGGGTACCAGGAAAAAGGTTTTGTTTGGGTTTTGTTCTGTTATTTATGATGGCGATATAAACGATACAAACTTATGATGACTGTACAAATGGTAGAAACTTATGATAACTGTACAAACTTATGATCACGGTAAAACTTAAGATTACGGTACAAATTTCTAATGACTGTATAGACGGTAGAAACATATGAAAACGGTACAAACTTATGATCACGGTACAAACTTATGATCACGGTAAAACTTATGATTACAGCACAAACTTATGATGACTTTATAAACGGTAGAAACCTTTGATAACATTACAAACTTATGATCATGGTACAAACTCACGATCACGCTAAAAACGGTACAAACTTATGATGACTGTACAAACGGTAGAATCTTATGATAACGTTACAAACTTATGATAATGGTACAAAATTATGATCACGGTGCAAATTTATGATGACGCTATAAACTTATGACAACGGTACGAACTTATGATCACGGTGCAAACTTATGATCACGGTACGAACTTATGATCACGGTGCAAACTTATGATCACGGTGCAAACTTATGATAACGGTACAAACTTATGATGACTTTAAAAACGGTAGAAACTTGTGATAACTGTACAAACTTATGATAATGG